TGACATCAGCCCCAACCACATGTCCACATCCTAACCCAAAAGCCTGTGAATGTGGAGGTGCGTAGCACCAGGGGACTAATACTACAGATGAAATTAAGATACTACAAGGACTAGTGGGGTGAAACACTGTAATCCCAGCACTCTGGAGGGCTGAGGCAGGAGAATCACAAGCTTGAGCCTAACCTGGGCAATTTAGTGAGATCCTGTCTCAAAATAAAAAATGGACTAGGGATATAGCTTAGTGCAAAGGTCTGGTTTCAATCCCTCAATTAAAAAGATATTACAAGCACTAATGAGTTGTATTCTGTGGCTAATGATTTCTCTGATGGTATCTACATGCTTGGCTACGATAGTAGGTCAGCAGTTGTTACCACTGATCTATTAATAGATCCCTTCTTTCAGCATAACTTGATACCTACAATAGCTAAAACCTCTGAAATAGTTCCAACTCCTGAGCCTTCTGAGAACCCCCATCTGGGACCACCAGGGCAGAGCCTTAGCTTCTGCAGGAACCAACCTCCTCTTGAGGGGCCATTAGGGAGCAGCTAAGTGCCACACAGGGCTTCCCTGGACGGGTAAACATGTTCTATTGGAATGGGCGGTCTTTCCCAAGAAAGCATGCATAACACTAGCAAATTAGCTGTTTCCAAATTGCCCGTCAACCAAGTAAGTGATGGCTATTTGCACTTGGGCTTCATCACATCGCCCCACACACAAAGCAGGTGCTTTGTCAATGACTGGACACCACACTATCTGGGACAGGGAGCCAGGACTGCAGCACTTCCACTAAACTTCAATTCTTTGTTCTCAGGTTTCCAAAATCAACTCAAACTAGTTTAAGTGAAAGAGGACAGAAAATATTTTGTAAGATAACAGGAGCATATTATTAAATCCAAGGGGGGAAATATATCCCGCAGGACAATGATGTCAAAAATGGGGAACCAGGAGGGCTCATTCTGTCTTCTTTGTGTCTCATCTCTTTGCATCTCAGCCTCTCGCTTCTTTCCTGTCGTGCTCTAACATGCTCACTCCTACTGAACAGACTCATTATATGGAAATCAACCCTCAACTCCTACACCCACCTCGGCTTCTTGGGGTTTATGACCCCATCCAAGTTTTAACTCCACACTTGAAACCCTAGAGCAGACTTCAGGAGAAGAGAGGAGTCTGGGGCAGAGTGTGATTCCGGGACTTTGAAGAAGTTGGATCATTTTCTGAGATGCTTCTTTCAAGGCAGCTCTTCCCTGTTGGAATATTGAGTCAGGTGGCAAGCCTGTTTGCAAAGATAAGCTCAAAGCATCTCAGTGTCTACCATTTACTTGCTGGTAATTTTTAATCTTTATTTATTAGTCACTTAATATTTATTAAGTGCCCATAGGAATTTTTGACACTCAAAATGATGTGTTGAATTAGCCAGAATAAAATGTCCAGTATAGAAAGTTCATCTCAAAATCGCCTGTGGGTTCAGTGTGTGTTTAAAGGCAGCCATTACCTACAGATGCTAAGACATTATTCTCAGACTCAGGGATGGGAAAGATGCAAATGCTCAATTTTAAATTCTGTTGCTGACTTCAGTAATGGTGTTTTCACAGAGACATGTTACAAAATTTCTTCTACGATGATCAGGTCACAGCACTGTTGCTTTGGGGAATTTATGGAACCATCTGATACCTTTAAAACATTCTATCAAAACATATCTAAGTTAGGCTGAGTGTTGAAAGTAAGAATAGCATATTTGGAATGAATTTCATCACAGAATCTATCATTATCACAGTCACAATCATTTAAGCCGTGGACCCTAAAATAAATTGAACCCTTAATTACGTTAATTTGCAGGTAAAAGTAATCCAGATAGATGTTGGAGTCAGTAATTCAACTGATTTTTCTTTTTAAATTTTTATTATTTTTGCTTTTTTTCTAAGAATAACAGAACAAGAGTTCAGTCTCCAAACATAGTTTTGTAGACTGTGAACAGAGGGTGGCAGCTGCCTTGGGAATGAGATGGATAAAATGCTGGAGATTGGAGCACTCCAGCAGAATGAAAAGTCACATACTGTATAAAATAGTTGCCTTTAGAAGTCTCCAGATTTGTATGAGGATGAACAGTGGACCCTGGGTGAATCCCTCCGGCCCATATAGAGTTGCGGTGAAAAGCCCAGCGGAGATGACTGGGGCATCCCATAGAACATGGAGGGAAGGGGGAAGGAGTCAGGGAAGAGGCACCCCTGAGTCCTCTGGCCTGATGGCTCTGGGAAATGAATATCCACTCCTCTTTCACCAAGATGGTGGCAATGCATAATTAACTCCCAAGTTAGGTCGGCCATTCTTAACTTTTAATTAATCAGCAGGGCTTGTAATGAGCCCATTGGCATCTTCTACCTCTCTCCCACTCACACAGGAATGGATGTCTCGGTCTCTGGAAAGTCGCTGCACAGCCCACTCACCCTGCCATCTCCCAGACTCATACTATGGAGCCAATGTTAAGTGGCATCTGGTAGCTATGCCCTTCATCCATCCTTCACACTCACAGCTAGCAGAAGCCCTGCCAAAGTACCCACAACAAGCAAGGCCATAGTAATGTGGGAATCTCAGCCATGGGAGATGTCCCCTGCTTCACAGTACCCTGCTCTATGGATGGTGTGTTAGGGTCTTCTTGGCCCCTGTGCTGCCTAACCCATTGCTGATTTATCCATAGCCTCTGAATTTTTAAAACTATCCTCCTTTCTAGCTATTTCCTAGAAAAGGCTTCTTTCCATTGTGGAAGGCAGAAACAGGCTACAAGTCCTCATCTGCTCCTTTTTTTTTTTTTAACTTTCCAAGATTTGTTTTAATTTTAGCAAAACTGCATCAAAAAGACCAGCTACAATTATGCAGTATGACCATCATCATTCACACATCCACCACGGTCTTCATTAATTTAGTATTTAATGAGACATCTCCCTTCAATTCTACAATGTATGTGATTAGAATGAAATATAGTAATTTAAGGCAAACAGTAAAAGATATAATTAAAACTAAGAGTTTTCCTATGATAAATGAAGTCTGAAAAATTCTTCAGTGAGAAAACTCAAACACCTGTGAAGCTGCAAGGCATTTTCACATTCAATTTCTAACATACAGTACTTTCTCTGGAGTAGACACAACCAAACCAAATTGGTACAAACAGTACCTTAGTTAAATGTGTAATAACATGAACAAGTTCATGTATTACAAGTCTGTGACAGGGCTATTACAGAAACCAAGTTCTGACAAAAACTCAAAGCAAAATCTGTTCTAAATCCAAGTTTTTTAAAAAATTGCTTATACTATTTTTTTCATTAAGTTTATTGGTACATTTTAGGTATACAATACAGTTACATTCATCATTGGGATCTTGTACTTTACATGATGTATCTTGGTTCTTATTTTTTTTCCCCATTCCCCTGCCCTCCTTTCACCCTCTCCACCCTTCTCTATTAACAAAGTCTTTGTTTCCTTTTTTTTTTCTTTTTTTTTTTGCTTTTCTCATATTGTTTCTTTTCCTTTCTTGGCTCATCTGCTTCTTAAAGCCTCCAGATAGAAGGGGTGATAGACTGGTGGGAAGATGCACTACTGTGAGAAACAAGAGTCAATTGGCTTCCTCCTTCCTGCTGAGAGGGCCATCTGGTTGACCCCTCTGCCTTCAGCTAAGGGAAATAAAGTGTGCACTTGCCAGCTGTCCCTTGGTGTCTGGCACTGCCTATCCTACACTGTCACTGCAGTCTCTTCTGTGCATCTGCCACCGTCCACCATGATGATGCTCCTGTGTCCCTGGCTCCCTGCACTGTGGCCTCCGCCTATTTACTGTGAAGTCATCTACCTTCACTTCTGCTGGGTGTGGCTCCTTCTTTCCCTTTAGCTGGGCAGCTGCACTTTCCTCCCATGAAACCAGCAGGTCACACGATGTGTGCTCAGGCACTCAGGGGGCTAACTTGATGTGTGAAGACAGCCACACTTTATGGTGGATTCATGTGGCTGTATTATGTATTACTTTATACACTTTCTGAGATCATCACTGTTCTACTTGATGGTGGCTTGGGTCCTGTGAGTTGTAATTGTGAGCACCAGGCAGGAAGGACTCTCAGATCTTTACACAGAAGTTCCCTTGGCAATGTGGCCAGAGCTGCTTCTATAACATTTGTTTCTGTATAATAATAATAAATGTTACTAATACGCTATCATATTTACTACTTATAATTATTAATGTTACTCATTTTGCCTCTCAAAGAATCCAGGATGGTCTATAAATTATATGATCTTCCTAATTTGGAGGGAACTGAGAATTTGTCCTCCACAGCCAATTTGCCAGCTTACATTCCTAGATTTATTCACCCTTTTGCAGCCATCGGCAGTCGCCTCTCCCACCCTCAGCCCTTGCTGCATGTCGAGCTGGCTCTGTGGAGAGCACTCAGTCTAGAACAGGGACAGGAGCTGCCCAGGGAAGAGAGAGCTGGGAACCCAAAAACTTCATACAAGGAGCTATGAGAGGATGAAAACGCATGTGATGAGGAGGCATGGGCAGAAATCCATTAACACTGGACCTCTGTGTGTGCTAAACTTGGTGCCCTGAATTAGAAGCTACAACATGGATGGGAAGGAAGGGAAGGATGAGAAGATGGGAAATCTCATTGTTCCTGGTTGGATTCCATGGGGAACAGATGGTGTGAGGAGGGAACGCACTATAAGATCCCATGCTTCCAGTCTTGTTTACTTGTCACTGGGAGAAGGGCACTGCATTGGCACAGAGCTGTCCACACAGCACAACGCTTCTTTGGAGCCATCATTGGAGGCTGGCCTGGGGGAGAGGCAGCCCTGTAGGTAGAAAAAACTCACAAAGTTACTGGCAGAGCCCAAAGCTGTGGGGAGAAAGATGCCTCTTCTTGTGTCTTGGTTCTTGGCTTAAACTGCAGATGTTTATTTGGGGCAAGTTTTATCTCCTTGTTTTACTCACTGGGGTTCTGTCTTTCTGTGGTTGTTCTTAGGAGCTGGTGGGAAGTAATCCGCCACAGAGAAACTGGAAAGGCATCGCGATTGCACTCCTGGTCATTCTGGTCATCTGCTCCTTGATCATCACCTCGGTTATCCTGCTGACACCAGGTACCTGAGCTCATTCTCAGAAAGCCTGTCACTTCCAGGGAGAAAGAGCACAGCTCCACCTGAGATGTTTTCTATGTAACAAGGGCGTAGTTTTACCCTGAGATGTTTCTTAGGCAACTAATGTTACATAATTTATTTTTTCTTCATTCTACTTTCCCTTGCTCTACTTCTTCTGTGTCACATGATAATATGATGTAATATGCTTTCAGTGAAGGAAAAAATCCATTTCATATGCTTTGAATTTCTTTATGTTGTTAACTAAGTGAGAATGTTTGGCATATATTAAAATTCAAAATAACTTACTCATGTTTGATGAACTTAAAGGCACTGACATTATAAATATAATAAATATATATGTATATAATAGAATTAAGGGATGTTATATAACAAATGAATTAAGAAAAGCTAGATAAGGAGATGTACTGCTGCCACTTCAGCACTCTGGGAGGACATAACAGGAGGATCACAAGTTTGAGCCCAACCTAGGCAGCGTGATAGCAGCTAGACCCTGTCTCAAAATAAAAAATAAAAAGGGCTGAGGATGCATCTCAGTGTAAAGATCTTAGAGTCAATAACCAAAAAAAAAAAAAACTATTAAAAGAATACATATTGAGTGTGAACCCAGGGCACTGTACTTATTGGATACTGCTAGTGAACAGGAGTACTAGCCAGAGTCATGGTCTCTCAGGGAGGAAAATTCACATGGAAAGCTGCAGCAAAGGCCTCCCTTCTAGTCTCTGGGAGTGGTCCCAGTGAAGTTCTCTAGGGCCTTTGGGTACGGAGAGGTCTTTTATGAAGACTCTTCTGAAGAAGGCAATATGTGATAATTCATAGTGGAAGAATGTTATTCAGAGCAGTTGGGCAGAGAGAGAAGAAAGCCTTTGCCTATCACATCGCCATAGGAAAACATCATGTCCATAGATAGCAGTGCCTATCTGTTTTATCCATTCTCCTGGTCATATTAGATACCTATATTTGTGGGAAAACCCCAAACTTTCAGTCCTCATTAAGCAGATTGCGCAGATATTACCCTTTAAAATAGAAAAAGGAGTAATATGGTAATTCCTCAAAAGGGTTAACAAAGTTGCCATATTACCTAATAATTCTACTTCTAGATATATACCAAGAAAACTGAAAACATATTTATATGGAAACTTGTGTATGGTGCTCATAATAGCATTATTTATAATAGACTAAGTGTGGAAACCACTTAAATATCCATCACCTGGTAAATGTATCTCATGTCCCCTCAAAGCCTCATGCACTTCTAGGTGGGGTTTTTCTAAGCTTGCTGGATGTAGGGTGCTGGTAGTGAGCCTTTTAGAGACAAGTGCCCAAACAGTAACCCCAAACCCACTTATCACAAAGTGCCAACACTGCGATTAAACCCAAAATTTACAAAAAAAAAAAAATTCATACATTAACATCTTTTTGTTTTAAAAGAAAAACAAATAACACATGTGCCATAGGTCTGTCACCACTGATATAGGGTGTGTGATACTGGGATTAAGGGCATGTGGTTCTAAATTAGTCCATTGATTGGAATTAGCATAGCTCAGGGTGTGGCTGAATGGATTTACTGAATGCGGAAACCTCACTCTGAATGTGGATGGCACCACCCAAAAAGCTTGTAGCCTGGATGGAATAAAAAGCAAAGGCAGGCTTGCTGTTTGGGACATGCTGCTTCCTGTCTGCCACTATTTTTCCTCTGTGATGCCCCTCTACCATACACCCTGCCTTAGAGCCAGCCAACTATGGGTGGAAAGCTCTATAAACTGTGAGCTGAAATAATCTTTTCTCCCTTTACTTGTGGGAGTGGGATATTTTGTTCCAACCAGGAGAAAATTAATTTAAAAAATGAACAAATAATTGAGGCCTAGCCATACAATGGTATATTATCAAGAAAAATTAAGTACTTCCAAGTGCTAAAACATGTTTAAACCTTGAAAACATTATGTAAGTGAAACAAGTCCAGCACAAAAGGCCACAGATTAAATGAGCCCCGGATAGGCAAATCCATGGAGATAGAAATCAGATTAGCATTTGCCAGGAGCTAGAAATTGGGAGAAAAGGAAATGACTTTTAATAGGTATGAAAGTTCCTTTGGGGGTGATGATAATATTCTGGGAATTTGATAGTGACGATAGATGCATATTTGTTATTATATCTTGAAAAGCACAGAGTGACACACATTATAATGAAAGATAAACTTTTATGATATATAAATTTTACCCCAATTATGCTTTTAGTTTAACAGATGATAGCAAAGTTATAAAAAATAATAATCTGGCCATTTACATGTGAAAATGCATAAAACTTACCTAATATTGAAGAGGTTTCAGCAGAAATTCTAAAAAATAGTGCCCTATGGTCCTTCTTATTGGACCATATTATTGTAGCTCAGAGCTGCTGGAAGGTAGGGTCTCAGGATGTAACACAGCACAACCCCCTAAACAGGACAAAGACGCATGCAGTGGTTGAAAACTGCATGAGACTTGAGAGAGATGAGGAAGGATTAGTAAAGACAAATACTTGTTTTGTTTGGTGACTGTGTTGCTGATGATCTAACACAGCAGGGGACCTTAGCAACTACATATTATAATTACTATAAAGAAAATCAGGTATCCCTCAGGACCTGGGGAGCCTGTTCCTGCCTTGACTTTTCTCAGAACAGAGTTCTCTTTTATGTAGCAAATTGTTTGGCTCTGTGATCCCTTCTCACTCCCCTTAGGACTTAGACCCCCACAATGTGTTATGTAGCTTGTAGTTTCTCCCACATTTCCAAAGCCCATGCAAACATCTATGTTCCTAGAGTCTGAGCACTCTCACAAGCATAGCTAAAAGCAGCACAGAACAGCTGCCAGGAGCTGCCACACCGGGATAGTCAGTGTAGGGGGTGTCTGGACAGGTAACTCCAGGCTGCCGAAGAAGCGGCTCTCCATGTGTGCCACTCAGTGCCTGGCATTTCACCACATAGGGAATCTGGGGCAGCAGCTAATTCAGAAGGCATTTTGCATTTAGTTCTTGTATATGCAGTAAGAGCCACCAGTGCAGAGTCCCCTCTGCAATAAATAGAGAGGACTGTCACTGTTGGCCATTATCTCTTTGGATGCTGATGCTAGTTGTCAGGGGCAACAATGAGCTGGAGGCAAGCACAGGGGTGGAATTTGGTGAATCTCTGAATTCCAGAAGGACTTTGAGGAGCAGAATTTTCTTTCATTCTTCTTTCATTCTGAGCCTTGCTTACCTCTTTGGTTTTGTGAGGCTTCTGTGCATAGTACTTATGTCCAGGGGCTGTGTGACCTGGGCTCAGATCTGCCCCACATGAGACTCAGCAGCTCCTCCCTTCATGGGCTCTCTGTGTCACTCTCCTGCTGGCAAGCTGCGGCTTTTGCTTTGACCTTCAAACTTGTGTCAGGCAGAGGAGTGTGTCAAACTATCTATCCTCCACTGGCCCCAGATCTTTCTTAAATGCAGTTATGTGCAGGGCATCTTTGTGCCAGCTGATCTTGCCTACCCATCGAGCCACCACTAATGGTGCCCTGTTAGCAGCAGAGAACACACAAAATATAAAGAAAGAAGATGTGAATGTTCTCCATGGAGCCGAGGGCAAGGAGATTTCACAGTGTTGTAACCACAGAGAAGAATGGAAGTCACAAGGCAGGGAGTGACTGTAGCATGTAGCCTTGGGTAGTTAACTGAAGCTGTGGTCTAGGAGACACAGATATCACCAATGGTAGGCATGGTGCCCACCAGTGAAAGACCACTTCTAGTCTCAGAGAGTGGACAGGAACATTTTGGAAACATTTGCACACAGTCTTGAGTGCATCCTATAGCATTGGCTTCATTTTGATAGACTTTGTTTCAATCATATGTGCTTTAAAAAAAAAAAAAAAAGACCCAGGATTTTCCTACTACTGCTGATTTGCTTTCTTGTATTCTGGAAACTGAGACTACAGTATATCTGCTTTCTATTTCTTATCTAAAAACTCCATTCTGAGCTCAGTGGATTCTGTCTTTTTCTGAAGCCACATCCCAGGATATGTGGCCCCCTCCGAGTGTGGTGAGAAGACTCCTACAGGATGCAGGTTTTGGGTCTGGAAGGGTCTGTGGCAATCATTCTGAGCAACGAGGCTTTTTGTTCTATAAGACAGTCTAATTATCACCATTATGCACAATTTATGGTTTAGAAATCAAATTAAAAGTGGCTGAGGCAATCTTAGCTGTGAAAGGATTCACCAAATGAGAATGTGTCCTTTTCAGTTTTGTTTTTCATTTCTCCCTTGCTGGTCTGTGCTCTTTTCTCAATTTCTCTTTGGAATAATTAGCCCAAAGTTACCTTTTATAAAATTTTTGTATATGAAGTATGCGTCTGCCTTTTCTGGCAGCTGAAGCTCTTGCATTCTGACGTAAGGACTCTGCTGTTCGGCATCATCATTGTTGAGGCATCTAACATCCAGCAGGGCCATCTTCACATCAGAACATTTCTGACATTTGACTTTGAGGGATTTCTGCATTAATGACAGACAGTGGTTAGTAATGAAAACTCTAAAACACATTCAGGGGTGCATAAATGAAAGCCCTGGGTATCAAAAAGTCATATTAAAGATGGACTTCAGCGTAAGGCCAAGAACAGGTTATCAAGCAGAAAACCCACTGGTCTTTAGGCCGAAACATAACAAACGGGTTATTTTATGGAACTGAAATGTCATCACTGTTTGATTTATGTGCAGTGTCTGTGACAGTATTGCTCACCCTCTATCTGTTTAAAATTCTGGAACAAATTCCTTTAAAACATTGTATTAAAATTAACATAATAAACTATGCATTATATTATATACAAAAAAGATATATCCATTATATTATATATATTATAAACATAATAAAATGCATTATATTATATACAAAAAAGATATATCCATTATATTATATATATTATATATATCCATTATATCATATATAAAAAAGATATATCCAAATTGAATATTTATCGGCATTAT